TAGATTTTCAGTACAAATCGGCAATTTCATACTTTAACCCCTATTATTATTATTATTAGAGTGGCTTCATTCAAGGCCTATGAGGCCTATGTGACCCTTCATCACTGCGACCGTCAACTGATCTATTGTGATCGGTTACCTGTCAGTAGTCTGAAATGACATTATCCAGAAATAACATTATCCAGAAATAACGTTAGCTCGAATTTTCATAACCTAGAAAGTTTGTAACCTAGAACATTTTGAGAAGGAAATTTTTATTTCTTTTAAACCTAACTTAACCTAACCTAACCGAACTTAATCGTGTCTTTGCGATAAACATCCAACATATCCTGAAAAAACAACGGTTTCGTTATAATTCGGTTTTCGGTGTAATGAAAATTCGACCAAACGTTATTTCGGAAAAAGAAATTCGTGTTTGTGACAGGTTACCATTGTGATCACCACTAATTACAGTTCGGAGCCAAGGCGAACACCATTAAATAACTGAAGGACTTACCTGACTCCGACAGATTTTAAGTCCTCTGTAGGGCTAGCACGATACAAAGCGCGAGGTAGTGCTATTCTCGCATAGGGATCCCGCGCATGTCGCACCTTGTCGTGCTAGCCCACCGAGTATATAACCAGAAATAGAGACAAAATGTCACTTAATTTGTTTGAAAACTATTCTGCCATGTCATTACTGTGACAACTGCGCTCCGATTGGCTAGCCCGAGTTCGAAACAATTGACGGGTGTCGTCAACTGTTTCACTTCAAATCGACCAGTTAACTTGAGCTTTGCTATAATGGACGAAAATTGCAAAATTACATATTTAATATGTAATTACCGATGTTGTTTTGTAATTAGACGTTTTGCTGTTTTTCCCACACCACCGAATAGAACAGCACGGCATTGTTAGAGATATTATCTTTATTACAATAAATACACAATATTTTTTGGGATATACGCAGGTCAGTCGTTGGCCTGTCTAAATTTCAGCGCAAACGAGAGTAATATTTATAAGAGCTGTATCGCTAATGCGTTACCACGAATATATGGCCCTTATTTCGTCTCTATATCTGGTTATATACTCAATGTGCTAGCCCTACTGGTTGTGGACTGTACCTTCCCAGTATATAAATTCGTATGCCCATCAGAGGGCGACACTGGGCGAGGAGACGCACATCCAGGGAAGTACTGCCACTTACTGCCACCTATTTCTGCCGCTAAACAGTAGTGTGATCTTTACTGCGTTCCGATTTTAAAGGGTACGGGTGTTGGTGAAATTATAGGCACATGGGACTCGTCAACGTATGTCTCAGGGTGTCCGGCGCAGGTGCAGTTCCCCTTCAGTTCTTTGTGATTTAAAGCTCGTGAGTGGCACTGCGCACGATTTGTTCGTCCCATCTCTTAAGTGTCTAATAAAACGTTATTAATAAACATTGACTTACAATTATATGGACTTCGGGTCCGCGCTTAAAAGTGTCCGCACTTGTAAGGCGCTAAAATCGTATACAGAGCGCGACAGTCTTCATTTGTTCTACTGACAGCGCGATACTGCGATGACATTACAATTTAAATTTCGAATAGGTTGACTTGGGACATTTTTTTCGTGGTTTTTGTATTAGACCCGTCGTCCATTTATTTGTAAGTCAATGTTAATAAAAGTAATTAACTTTTGGTGGTTTTAATCACTCCGAACTTATCACTTCTTCTATCTATACAGTACACATAGACATTATTAAGAGATGAATTACTAAAAGTTATTGTTTATGATGTTAGTTATATAGTCCTGGAAGGTTGTTAGCATTTAAAAAATAACCCTGTATACACCTGATTATGTAGTATTTTATACGAATAGATCTGAGTAAAACCCGGTAAATATGTGGGTTCTCGTTGATATAATATATCGGGTTTGTAGGTAACTAAATTGGTTCTGTGTCACACTTATAAACCTGCTTATTTGATGCCAACGTTGAAAGGTACTCTATTTGATGATGAGATTTATAGTGTACACTATACTTGGATAACTAATTTTACGAAAATTCACACACTTATTGTGCGAACCATATAATACAATGGATCGTTTGGCTTGACAAGATCTCTTTAAATTAGTAATTAAACAATTTTTTTTCGGATCTCAATCGCGTTTATTTGTTTTTACGAACAAATGAACGTTTCGGGCTCATTACAACCCTATTGTCACAGCTGACTGAAATTGTGACGTCATCAACCAGTTTTAAGTAGCGATTTAAAAAAAAAATAAAAAGTACGCATTTGACCTCCATCTCACCTGGTGGAAAGTGACGATGAGGTCGATGATGTAGCATGTGCTACACCTAAATAATGCATTCACTCTCACCTTGAAAAGGTCCAAGTTAATACTTTCAGGGAACAAGTCTGCAGGCAGGGAATTCCACTCCATAGCCGTTCGCCATATAAATGTGAAAGCAAAACGCTTCGTGCGAACCCTTGGAGTATCCACAACATAGGGGTGGAATTCCAACCTACGCCTAGACCCTTGATGATGGAAAGGGGAAGGCAGAATCAAATTATGCTATTCCTTTGCACACTCTCCGTGATGGCGATGGCGGATGAGCGATGGGCGAGTCGAGTTATTTAACTCGAGTTATTCCCGAGTTAGCTCGGTCCGGTACCCGCCTGCTCTTCGACGAGCCGAATACTTCATTATCTCGGTCAGTTCGGCGACCTTCGGAGCACGTTCGTGTCGCGAGGGATGGTGAGTCGCGTTATTTAACTCCCACAACGAGTCAACTCGTGTTACTTTTTGTGAACTCGAGTTAGCTGGGTTCTGTTCCCGCTAAGTCGAATACTTCATTCATACGTACGGCGCGTTGGCTACTCGTTCTCACTCGGTCGGTTCGGCGTATTTCGGGGCACGTTCGAGTCGTGGTCGGTCGGCCGATCGTGCCCGACTCGGTGAATTGTCAGTTCGAGTTCTGGACACCGAGTTAACTCGAGTCTGTCACGCCAACTCGAGTTGAAAAAAATAGCAAACCACTCTATTCGGCACTATAGTTACGAAAGTTATGAATTTAAATAACTAAGTCAGTCTAAAGACATATTATGTTGCTGTCAAGTAAAATGCAACGCCTTAAAATAAATAGTAATGTGCCAGACAACCGACACTAATTAGAGCGCGTGCCCACTGTCGTCGACGATTATTTTATCGTTGAACGACTGTCGTATCTAGCTGTTCTCACTAGATCGTGACGACAATTTATCGTTTCACAGCAGCCGCCATGTCGTTTGATGCATTGCAGTTGCTTCTATGTTCTTTTGGAAGCCAGTAGTGTGTTTTCGCTCCCGTATGAAATGGATGAAAATGAAATTATATTAACTATAATAATGTATTATTTTTTAAAAAGGCGGAAGAGGAAGCAAATGAAGATAAGAAAGTTTTGGGTACATCTAATGTTATTAAAAAGAATTCCATTAGGGTTATGTCAAACGTTTATAGATGAATCATCACATATCAGTGATGAGAGAAAATTTTGGGACTATTTAAGAATTTAATATTTTGTAATAATATGTATAATTAAAGTTGAAAGTTTAGTTGTAAATAGTTTTTGCCCTCGATTTCAGGCATTAATGGGGTTTAACCCGATTTAAACCCGACGTTAACAAAGCGCCGGGTTAATACCCGGGCCCATCTCTGGCTATGACCCAACGCTAGCTAGTGCAAAGCGAGCCGAGGGCGCTGGGTTCGAGAGGAGAGTGGGGAGTAGAACACGTGCGGACAACGATAAATAAATCGTGACGACAATAGTAGCTGCGACGAATAGTAGTAGCTGAGTATTTAACGTCAGACGACTGTCATTCTAACTCTTCCCATTATCACGACAGTCTGTCGTCGTAACGACAAAAAATCGTGAACGACAGTTAATCGTGTCGTTCTAGGTGTATATGAACAACATCATTTAAATACACAAGTGACGACACTGTAGACTTCCAGATTAACTGTCGTGACGACATAACGGGAACGCACCCTCACCTGGTTGCAAACTATGTACCGTGAGAACTAGAGCAACCAAAATTAACAACAGACCAGAATCTATTTGAAAAAGATAATTTCCCAAATAGATCCTATAGGGAATTGACCCAAGCACAGCTCATACAACGTCACACAGTGCCAAACGCTGAGTCAGCGACTTAAGTTTATTTTTATGATACCAAGGGACCGGATGTACAAGTCTTAACAGTTGCAGTGCCACTGTGTGGAAGGGCACTGCCATTGCAGCCGTGACCCTGAGCCTTAAAATTGACAAGTCCTATGTACCTGCAGTTTCAGCAGCACCATTATCCTTTATGACACACGGAGAACAGTAATGTGGGCATAACTACGTGGCGAAAGAAATATTGTTTCCACAAGTAACTTGCTTATCCGTTGGCAAAGCAACAAACACTACCCCATTACAATCATCAAAAAAGTTATGACATGTTAGAGCCTTGTCTTGTTGACGATTATTTATACCTGCGCCAAATTACCCAGTTAGGCAGGTCCAACTTCGACAAAGAGGTCAGTCGTCGAATCCGATTCGGTTGGGCAGCATTCGGGAATCTACGCCATATCTTCTTGACTAAAATACCACAGTGTCTCAAGGCCCTTTGGTCAGTTTGTGTTGCCTGTTATCACAGCCGCCATTAATGCGCCGTAAAGCATCACTTACAAGAAGGCCCAAGGTCATCCACAGGGCAGTGGAAAGGACTACGCTCGGAGTTTCACTGCGAGATTAAAAGAGGATATCCGCACAAGAACCTGACAAACCGACATAGCCCAAAAAATTGCAAAACTTAAGTGACAGTGAGCGGGGCACATTGCTCGCAAATCGCAGAGCCGGATCCGATGGACCAAAAGAGTTCTCGAGTGGCGACTGCGAACCGGAAGACGCAGCGTGGACAGACCACTCACAAGGTGGACCGATGACCTGTGGAAGGTTGTGAGAATCCGTTGGATGTAAGCAGCACAAGACCGGTCATTATGGGCGACCTTTGGGGGAAGCCAGTCTAGGTCAGAGCCGGAGTGTAATCATTGAGATCCAGGAAAAGGATTCGTTGCATTCACTGGAGGGAACAATCACAAAAACACACAGCTTATTATAATCCCTGGTTATTGTAAATTAACAGACTTGATCTTACTTATTTAACGAAGGCTTCTTCGGCGGTAGCCTATCTTCGGCGCTGGATGTGTCTCGGCTAAGATGATGACTAGGTGAAGATATTTCGAAACGTAGCTACTTGGTCTTGGGTGTAACTTTAGCGTGCTTTTGCCCATAGAAACGATTTATGACAGTCCTGGATGTTGGTCGCGTCTATCCTTTTTAAGTGCTGTTGTTATAAAATGAACCTGAATGCTTTGAGCATTTCTTTTGTCAATAGTACAATGGAGATGTTTGTCTTTGAATAATCTACGAGAAATATTAATTGTCTCGAGATGAACTCCTCCATACATATACGAACAATTATTTGTTTTTAAACCGCGATTTGAACATTGCGTAAGTAACGTAAGGTACGGTATTCTCAATAGTGATTTTAGCAGTTTATACAATTCTAGCGTTTGCCAATCATATGACGATTTAGAATTTATTTGTATCTTTTCAAATAAACCAACATTTTGGATGCTTATGTATCAATACAACCCATGGTCACTGACAGTTTTAAGATGTTGAAAAAATTTTATTAACTTAGTTGCTTTCCCAAAAGTTTTATTTAGTTAAATATGGTAATTTGAGTTTGTTTTACCGATATTTATTTTCTGCACACACATCTCTTAATAATAATAATAATTAAGTAACCTTTGCAAATATATGAAGTTTCTCAAAGATTAAATCAATTGGTCTATAAACATCTTTTTTGTTTCAGTGATTTCAAGACACACCGCCTTCAAAAAGAAGATTCCCATTCGTCTGACGAGAAAATGGACACACGGTCCGAATCGTTCATATCGCAAGACACACCCAACTCGATCTTATCCGACTTCGAAGACAAGAGTATAGAAAATGTTCTCCGCTTGCAAAACCCAGAAGTCTTACGCTTGGCAGAACCAGAAAATGACAATACAAGCCCTCTTTCCGACAGTTTTCTTTCTAAAATGTCAAAATTGAATATAAAATCAACCCCAGACAATAAAATGACAAATTTGGATGTGAATTCTACCAAAGACAATACGATGTCAAATTCTTATATAAAATCTTCTCAAGACAATATAAAAACGTCAAATGTAGATACCAAAAGCACAGATAATAAAACAACTACCATAGACAATCGTCCAAAACAACTTAACATACAAAAAAGTTCCAATTTAGTCCTTACAACAAATCACCCATTAATGGGGCTAAGTAGTCCGGACTATCCAGATGTAGTACCAAAATTAATTGAAGAAAAAGATCTAAGTCTTTCGTCCATAGAAGACGAGAAGTTCTATAATTTATATAGTCCAGAAACGAATACGTCAAAGAATAATTTGTATTTTAGTGAAAATTTTGTAACAGCTGAGAGTGTGGAGCTGAGTATAGATAACATTCCACCGGATGTCGCTAGGGTTGAACAGAAGGAACGAAGGAAAATTGTTGCCAGGTAATAAAACAAAATGTAACTAATGAACAAGGGTCTACAAATTATATTTTAAGCTTCAATTGCCCGATATTGCGCTTGAAGATTAAAAAAGGAATTTGACATTTACAACGGACATATCCAATTACAGTAATTAGCAAGAACAATAATGATAATGAAACAAAAACAAGATATGGAAGACAATGTTTATGAACAGGTGGAGTCGCATCCAATCTTCTCGCAAAACATGTACAATTATTTAAGATATTCTTCCTATCCATCCCCATACATATCACATTCATGCGTATCAGACACGAGTGCGTTGATATGACCCAATGTTCGACAGAGACGGGAGTTGCATATAAACACATCGTGTTATGTAACTGTTACGATTTCAGTATTTCGTTATTTTGCATAGATACTAAATGCCATTTGACTTCATTGGTCAATAATATTATATTATTTTGACTTCTCCAAACCGTTTATTTTAACCAGACAGTAGAATTTTATATATATTTTTTTTTTAAGATTCGTAGAAACATCGAAGGCGATAGAAGCGACAAACCCACACCCGGTAGTGGGCCGGGTGGGTCAGATGAGGTCCGAAGAGCTCTTCGCGGGCCGTAACCCTGCCGGACATAGTACACCAATTTCACGGACGATTGAGTTTGGGACCGGGGTAAGTTACATTAAGAAGCCACTGTACCTAGAATAATATAAGTCTGGTAATGCAATAAGTAAATAAATACTTTATATGTATTAATTCCTAGTAGATTAGGTAAATATACTTTTCACCTCACTAGTTCGGAAAGGCTCTTCTTTCTCTTCAGAAAACTACGCGAAAAAGCGTTTTTTGCACGCTAGCGTGGGAAAGGTTTTTGGAATTCGAACTTGACGATGGACTGTGGTGCACCAACTTTTTCTTTGGATGAAAAAAAAAAGATTCAGAGTCGTTCAACTACGCGATTTGTCGTACATTACTTATTTATGTAATATAAATCCGTTGGTATATTTTATTCTTATTATTGTTGACATTAAATTGACAATGATAACTAATTGTGTTTATTAAATTATATTAATTCGTCGAAGAACTAAAATGATTTCAATAATCACTTAATCACACAAAATAAAAATAAGCAAGAATAAAAATTTATGAGGTGTAAATTCAGAACGCATCCGAAAATAAACTTTTTCATTTAAACAAAAAAGACTGATGTTTTATAGTTCAACTAAACAAAACAAAACAAGTTTTATAGTTAATTGTAAATTGAAACGTGTAATAATAATAATAAAAAATAACTGTTTTTCTTCCATTTACCATTGTCGTCGCTAGGTGAAAAGTTGTGTTTCGCTCGGCAGCAAAGTTGTTTTGCGTCTCGTGACTTGAAACCCTCGCTACGCTCAGGAATCTATTTTTGAACCTTAGCTTCCTTCGCTTGCGCAGGTTCCAATACAAGCACGCGTCAAACAACAACTTTGAAGCCTTGCATAACAAATAAGTATTGTATAATCTGAGCTCTTATCTTTATATTTATTGATTCTATTTCTACATCATTATCTTCATTGCTTTGTTCGGATAACTCATGGTCCCCAACATAGCCTTCGAATTAGGTGGCATTTAAAATTGATGACCTGACGTTAAAAACTATAGCACTTGTTACGCTTGCATCATCAAGAACATTTATAAAACAAAAGAAGAAAAACATTAACTTCATGTGCTATTGAATAGAACGGCCGAAACATACGGATCTTTTTTGTGATCTCCGACCATTATTTAATTTTCACACAATTTTGTTAACCTTTCACTTCCCATAAGTAAACTGTTTATCGACCCCCTGGGGTCCAAACTCCTACCGACAAGGGATCCATGTTTAGCGAAAAAAAAAAAAATTGAGAGTGCATGAAACGTTAATGGGGAACCACAAAAGTGGATCCTATTTAAATAGTTTGTGACCAAAATGTTGGTTTTCCATAAATGGAATAAACCACATTACACAGAGTACCTGATGTAAATGTAACGCAGTTTAGACCAAGACTAACTCACATTATTCTGACACCAGCATTCTGTATTTTATTTATATACTGCATGTTAATAATAATAATAATAATAATAATAATAATAATAATAATTTATTTCCAATCACAATGGTATTGATCTTATAATATATACATACAGAAGTTGAATGACAATGTGTTTGACCATTGTGAGAGAGCGGAATCTGTACTAGGATACCCTGTGTTACAGTATTCCGACCCCCCACTCTCAGAATCGATCTAAAATATGTGACAAAGGTGCAGTTAATAACTATTAATACTTCATAACACAAATAATAAAAAGAAAAGAAAAGATAACAAGTTAGAAAGCTAAATCAGTAAGTACAATACGTTGTTATGTGTAAATTTTGCCACCTTGTTTAAAGTAAACGACGAAATTGTGATATACAGATGGCAGCACATCAAGCTACTCGTTGATTTTAGTAGCAGTAGATCCCCTTGTGAAAGAGTTCGTCCAGGGTAGTACTGCCACCTTACCTATTTCTGCCGCCAAGCAGTAATATGAGCATTGCCGCGTTCCGGTTTGGAAGAGCAAGGGTGCTGGTGAAATTACAGGCACGTGGGACTTTTCAACTTATGTCTCAGGGTGACGACGGGTGCAGTGGCAATGCCCCTAAGATCTTTGCTATTTAACGCTCTGAGTGGCACTGCAACAGGCGTGTCGCCAGTCGCGCCGACTTGCTCGTCCCATCAGTTGCTATTATATAAAAAAAATTTTTGTTTCGCTATAGTTTTAAACCTCATGAACTTACCAGCCAGTAGCAATAATGTAATATTATAAGTAATTCTATTGTCATTATTTGTTTGACGATCTCAGTACAAATTATTATACTTTAAAATGCTGTGCAATATTTGAGAAATAAATAAATTAAACCAAACTAAATTGTTTTGCAGGTAGCGCAGTGGTGCAAATCTCCAACACACACACGGAGTGCCCCTAATTTTGACCTGCCCATTGAGTTGTCCACCAACATTGCTGTACATAATGTATGTATTAAAACATTTGAGCCTATAGGATATTTTCGTAATTAAGTGTAGTATGGTGCCTGACTTCTCTGAATTGGTTGGAAACTATAACAGCAAGTTCCATTCTCGTTGGAAGGAATATTCCGATATGAGTCCGCCATGCTGGCCCAATGCGGGCCAGGCGTAAGATATAACAATAAATGACATATTTTTGGTCAATATAACGCTCAACGGATATAATATACAACTTTCAACGATGACATAATGTACATTTTATACAAACATTACAGATATAACATTCACCGAGTACAATGTATTATAAATATAATCCCGGTGTTTTTAGGCGCAATGACGAGCGCAGCGAGGAGTATTAGGCTCGATACTCCTCGAAGCGCCTATACTAAATTTCTATGCTAAATCAGTAGGTGTTTCGATGAGAAAACCTATTTTTTTATGAAAACGTTATTTTTGATGGACATGACTTGATATGGATATGCAGCGAAACAATGTATTATATTATTTAATACATAGTACTGGTAGTACCTTTTGAAGAAACTATATCTCTTGTTGTTATACCTTTATTGATTATATTCAATGAGTGTTTTTGTGAACGATCTTCGACGTGCAGGTTTCATTCGCTATGTTTTCCTTCACCGAAAAGCTCATGGTAAATTTCAAATTAAATTCGACACCATTGTTTATTGATTCGATTGCTCAAATAATTTCGAACCTGACTGTACTTTTTCAATAAATAATTTCAGGGCCCTG